ATACTATACAAATTCTTATTGGTTGAACAGGTGTGTGACGTCATTGCGACAAGCCAATCGCTACCGGTTGTAACTTTACCGGCAAAATGGAAAACAGGCGTCAGTCAAGTTTTTATTAAACTGACATTTTAGCGCCAAAACGAAATCTCGATTTTCGACTTAACAGTTAAGGCTTAGAGTGCGTTTTATTTTATGTATTATTCGATAGATTCAGTGAGGGTTAGCGTTTACTACGCCGCGAGCCATTGTTCTTTTTTTAAATACCGGCGTCGATTAATCGATCATGTTGGTTGGTTGCATGTTACTTATCTATGCAAAGCGCGGTGAAAAAATTACTGGTTGAAAAAGTTTGCAATTCCTCGAGCTCTGGTCGAATGTTGTTTAATATTACCTTAGTAATTATACAATTATATACACATTGAAACAATTAAATTACAATTTATATTGATGTATGATGATGTTATCGAATACTAAATCTAGTTCATGAAAAAAAGTTGAAATTAGTTTCTAAAGAAGTATAAATGATATATCCTACATGCATGCACTCATTTGTAGTTTTTTTAAATGGACGATAATAGAATGACAACCCAGTCTGAGTTATACAGCGGCGGGGCATCTAGGAGGGATGATAGGTGAGGATGAAAAGGCAGGTCATTTAGCCCATCGTGATGAATACACTTGGGATTCAGCATGATGGTTTCCAGGGGAGACCACGGCGAGGTCGACCTGACAGGGTATATTGCTAGCTAGGAGACTGGTAGTCCGAATTCCTAACAATACCTTCCTCTTACTCATACGTAGTTCTACATTATATATTATGTATGTATGTATGTATGTAGAAGCGAGTAGGTATATTAATACTATAAAAAGGTAAAGTTTGTGATTTTTTTATGTTCCGGATAATCTCAGGTAGTACAGATCCAATTTTGAAAATTCTTACATTATCGCAAAGGTATATTATTCCCGAGTGCTATAGAATGCTTTTTATTTTAATAAATATATATTTTAATAATAATAATAATAATTTATTTGCTCTAAATGTGGTACAAATGGTCTTAAATATCATTTCGCCTTATCTAAAGGCGTACAATTTTTTATTTTAGCACATGCTAATTACTTTTAGTGGCTTACATATATTAATAGCCTAGTAGTAGTTTAAGTAATTAATCACAATAAATGTTGTCAAAGTTAGCAAGAATTCTATAATATAGCGTCCGCTGCCTGAACGGTTTGAAATATAGGAATAAAGAATAAAGATGTTCATTACTTTTAGATTTACAAAAAAAAAAATCTGCGATACTATACATCTAAGTTTAACTTTACCAGAGGGAGACTTTGTACAAAAGTCGATTGCTTGGGTACGTCTGTCCCATTCGTGTTTCTACCGTGAAGCAGTTGTGTTTGCATGGCTGTGTTTCGGTTTGAAGGGTGGGATATGGCGTGAATTTACTGGGTACGGAGGAATAACACCTGAGACCTCAGGAATGGCAACGCATGGGGGGTATCATGGGCGAAACAGTATACTCTGTTATGTCCATGATACTGCTCGTGTCTATAGGCGACGGTTACCACTTTCCATCAGGTGGGACGTCAGCTTGTTTGACTTTCTGAGTTTCATATTAAAAGTAAAATAAATTTTACAAGCCGTTCTTATTAAAATCTTAAGAAATATTCAGGTACACTGGGTAATTTCTACTGATAAATTGTAAGCAGTCCATAATAAACATTCATACGTTTACTCAGGAGCAAAAAAGTTGAGTTATTATTGGCAAATAATTTGTAAAAAGATATTAGATATCTAGATATGGAATAATAATCGCAGGAAAAGTTGTGGTTTATAATAATTTAGTATTTGGCTGATTATTAATCTATATATGATATAAAAATTAATGCCACTTTTCGTTGCAATTTTATAACTCATGAACGGGCTCACCTATCCAAACCAAATGTTTAGGCTTTGTTCGGATTATTTAGTAGATGGTTTATGTGAAGTTTGCACAAAATTGATGGAGCTGTTCTTCATTTATCACATTTTTCGTAACGAACGAATTCAATAAATGGCGGATCGTTTTGTTAATGGGGATTTGTGTGTCAAATTCAAACTTTTTTTAAGAAGAGGATTGTTCTGTCAAATTGAAACTTTTTCAGTGTTGACAGTACAAGCATGTTGTTATGTTATTTATGCGGTCATTTCATTTTGGACGTGCTTTGGTTAAAGCAAATTGTCAGCGATAATTATTGCTTTGTGTTTATATTTTCAAACTATAATATACTTTTTGATTTTTTTTATTATTTTACTTTATACGTAGCGAAGCACGTACCGGACCGCTAGTAGGTATAATATAATATAATACCAAAATTAGACGGAAATAGCAATTATTGAAAATCTATTATTTACCTAGTAAAAAAAAAAAACTGGCACATGTTAAACGCTCATTCTGCCATTGTATGTAATACAGATAAAAAATATTTTAACTTTATCTTTATATTGATTATAGGTGTCCGTAATTATAGAATAACAGCAACGATCTCAATTTCGTGTAGATAATTTTCACGTATTAATTGGCCAATTATAATAAGTGATCCAAGTTTAAACCCTTCTACTTTAATGATACGATTCGTGTTTTTAATCGTGGCAACACAGAGTCGGATTTGGAGAAGAAAGTTTATGATTTATACAGATACTAGCTTTTACTTGCCCCTTCGTCCCTTCAATCGATTCATTGACTCGGATAATAAGTAGTATATTCTTATATCCTTCTATATATCCTTTTCCATCCCATATAGTATCTACGAATATGCCAAATTTAGGAATTCCAGGAATTAACAACAATGGTTTCCAGGGAGACTCACGTGGAGGTCGACCTGAATAGGCATATTGTTAGTTCACATTGCTAACAATCCCTTCCATGTAATAAGTATAAGGTCAGTTTTTCTTTTCTATTTAAGAGTTTCCTCTTGTCGGTGCAACTAATTCATGCATTCTCTTCCAGCCAGCTCTATTCTAGGTCATATCTTTGACCTCTCTATACGATATGACATCTAGTATTTCTTTTATCTGTCCCATGTAGTTATTTCTCGGTCATTGCCTTCCTGTTTCACACTCTATTTTTCCTTCTAGTGTCAACATCATCATATCAGCCATTAACTGCCCACCTTGCCACGCTTGGCAGGCGGATTTGCAGTAAGGCTTGAGAGATGTTTAACGAGGGACGCTGCTGCCCATCCCTCAACTACTAAGTACCCATAATCGCCTTCTACGACACCTACGTGAAAGGAAAGGGTGGCCCATTCCATACCGGGATTACACGGCCTTCTAGAATACTCTTTAAAAATAGTCATGTCGTATAAAGTTGCCCAGCATTTTGCCTCTTCATTAGGTTAGTTTTTTTTTATGGGTGAAAATGGAATGGTAACCCCGCCTGCGCTAACGGGATACGCTGGCGGAGCACCAGTGAAGGGTGATAGATGAGAATGAAAACAGGCCAGTTAGCCCATCATGATGAATTCATCAGGAATTCATGATAGTTTCCAGGTAGAACCGCGAGAAGGTCGAGCTGGTTGGGTATATTGTTAGCAATGGGATTCTCAGTCTCCATTACTAACAATCCCTTTCCCCCCGCATTGGGTTAGTAAGGGTTTAAAATTATTATTGCCACATTGTATGAGGAGCGTGCAAATGTGCATTAACTGCAATGATGTCGAGGTGGACGGCACATTGGCTTTACATCAAACGGAATGGCTACACACGTCTCGACGGAAATTAAAAAGCGACTCGTTTGCGAGGTGGCGCCCCGCTGCGGCGCTGATTAAACGCATCTCGAATATTGGCCGATACTTGCGAACACGTTGTACGGTGCAACAGGCAGGGTCGGACTGGGTCAGAAGGGCCCGGGTAGTTGATCACAAGCCCGGGGCCCGAGACTAGATGATGGTAGTTGCACCAGTTTGTAGAGGCACCGTAAGTTTAGTAAGCTAAGTCCATGGGGGGCCCACGCAAGCTGGGGTACGGTTGGCAAATGCCATCTCAACTATATGGCCAGTCCGATGCTGGCAACAGATGAATATTTAACTTTTTTCTAATGGATGAAAATTAAATGACATCTTTGCCTTTGCAATAGGTATACGTAAACAGGACACCAGAAAGAGATGATAGGTTAAGGATTTTTTTTAATGGATGATAATGGAATGGTACCCCGCCTGCGCTATCGGTATACGCTGGCGAAGCACCAGTAAGGGATGATAGGTGATGATGAAAGCAGGTTAGTTAGTCCATCGTGACAAATTCCGTTAGAATTAACCACGATGGTTTCCAGAGGGAACTGTGTGGAGGTCAACCTGATAGAGTGTGTTGCTCGCAATGGGTCAGTTAGACTCCATTACTAATAATCCATTTCCCCCCTGGGTTAAGAGTTAAGCTCGCCTTTTTTTACATTTGCTTACCTCTGTCATATTTTTTATGTACTAGCAGTGTGTACAATATAGTATAAATAAATAAATAAATAGGTGAAAATTAAATCAAGACCGCTAGTGATGAATTGAACAAAAATTAACCACAATGGTTTTCAGGGAAACCGCGTGGAGCTAAGCTAGCATTAATAGATAGCTATCTTCTTCTATGTACCCTAATAGGTCAACTTCTATGTGGATCCTCTGAAACCCTGGATACCATCTTGGTTAATTATCGTTAAATTTGTCACGATGGACCAATTGACCTGTCCTTTCACTTTCACCTATCATCTCTCAGTGGTGCCCCGCCATACAGATAGCGCAGGCGGAGTTACCATTCCATTTTCACCCATTAAAAACTCTTGTACCGTAGATACTATCCTTAATTTATGACCCATACCTATATATGAGCTTATTTGCCAAAATCGACATTGTCAAAAATTTTATATAAGTTTCACAAATAATAATGTATTAAAAAAAAACACTGGCCATATTAATCTCTTTGCTCAATGCTTCTTCTTTCGCTGTCATAATACATTTGGCATGTTCTATGTGGTAGTAATATTAAAATGTTATAATTATTAATATTAAAATAAATTATAGAATTACTATAATGCAAATAAAAATATTGAAACTTTTGAAAACTGCTAAAAATTCTTCAGGGATACATTGTCATGTTCTAGCTAGAAATCATGGCATTAATTTATATTTGTCAAATAAGAGGTAAACATACATAAGTAGATATACATTGTAAATAATTATCTGAAATCTTTTACAAGGCAATTATTCTGTATATAGTACATACATTTTTTTTTTTGATGGGTGAAAATGGTATGGTAATGGATTGGCCTCATCATATATATTAACAAGATTTAAACCTGACATCCAAACAGCAGATTGGATTATTGTTCTATAAGGAACAGATTGCCAATTAGCAGTCTAGAAAAAGAAAGAAAAAAAAAACCCTTAATTAAAATAGACTACTAAGATATTATGTATTTTTTTTTTATGAGTGAAAATGGTATGGTAACCCCGCCTGCTCTAACGGGATACGCTGGCGGAGCACCAGTGAAGGGTGATAGATGAGAATGAAAACGGGCCAGCTAGCCCATCATGATGTATTCATCAGGAATTAACCATGATAGTTTCCAGGGGGAACCGCGAGGAAGTCGACCTGGTTGGGTATATTGCTAGCAATGGGATTCTCAGTCTCCATTACTAACAATTCCTTAACCCCCCATAGTACATACATTATGAGATTTTGGGTTAGGTATGAACATGTACTTTTCCCCCATTTTCGGCATAAAATGGGCCAGCAATTCTTTTCTCGTGGGTGTCGTAAGAGGCGACTAATAGCCGAGAAATGGACAGCAGTGTCCCTTTTACATCACTTACATCACCGAAGCCTAACTGCGGTTTCCAATCCGCCTGCCAAGCGTGGCAACTACATACTGGTAGAACAGCCCTAGTATATATGGAAGTCTATGTTCAACAGTGGAGAGTTAACTGCTAGTATGATGATGATAATGTACTTTTTCATCACTCTGAAGTTGACATTGTTTATTGCAAAATATATTTATTATTATTGTCAGGAAAATTTACATCTCCCCTCTTAAGGAGAGGGAATGGCAAACTAACCCCCGGCAGAAGCACAGTCGGCCGGGGTTCACGGCCCCAGGGAGAGAAACCGGCGTACAATGCGGGCTGAATCTTTTTTTTTTATACAACTTAGAATGGCAAACAAGCTGACGGCCCACCTGATGGAAAGTGGTAACCGTCGCCTATAGACATGAGCAGTAGTATACTGTTTCGCCCATGATACCCCCCATGCGTTGCCATTCTTGAGGACTCAGGTGTTATTCCTCTGTACCCAGTAAATTCACGCCATATCCCACCCTTCAAACCGAAACGCAGCCATGCAAATACAACTGCTTCATGGTTGAAACACAAATGGGACAGAGGTGCCCAAGCAATCGACTATTGTACAAAGTCTCCTTCTGGTAAGATTATTATTGTTATTATTATAGTTATTGGATGGTTGTAATATTCAAGTTAATGTAATGCTTTTTGTCTGTTTATCCCTTATTTCAGACACGATGTACTTTGTTTTTTTAATAAATGACTAATGACTACACATTATTTACATAATTTAAGATTGTGTCCCACAAAAATAAACTACTTCAATTGTGACAAAACCAGTTAGTTTGATCTAAAAACTAAACAGATTTTAATAAAATTGCTATGGAATCAATCTGTTATAAAAAAAAAGAAATTCCCAAAAAATAATAAAAAAAAAGAATTTTCCAATTCGGTTTACAACTGCCAGTGTTATGAGGTGACAAAAATAAAAATAATATAATCCAATTTAGAGCCTTCTACTTTTTGAAGTCTGTTAAAAAAAAGGCCGGCAGCACACCTGCAATGTCTCTGGTGTTGTGAGTGATCATGGGCGGCGGTAGTCACTTACCATCAGGTGAGCCGTATGCTCGTTTGCCCCCTGTGTTGTAAAAAAAAAAGCAAAAATAGGCCGAATATGTTAATTCTCAACACACTCTTAGCAATGTTTTTGCACAGTTTGAGCGTTACCAAGTATTCCCGATGGAGCGGGCTGGACCTCGGTGACCGCAAGGAGCTGGAGTGGCGGGATGTGCTCACCGAGGCCGAACAGATAGTGGGCTACCCCACCTCGTTCCTCAACTTACGCTGGCTGTTTAACGACGAGATAGCCAATACTGCTATACATCTTAGGAAGTTAGTGAGTGTGTCTGGTTTTAATTTTTTTACATATATCGAATTGAAATTCAAATTTTCTTTATTCAAATAGCAACAAGCACTTTTAAATCGTCATTTTTTAGGGTTCGGAAAGTTATTATCTGTTCAGAAGAGTCCGCAAGCCAGTAGTTGCCACCTTTCGCAGGCGAATTGCCAACCGCAGTTAGGTTTTAGAGGTTTTAAGGCATGGGCAACAGCGTCCCTCTTAAAACATCTCCTAAGTCTGACTTCGGTTACCAATCTGCTGCCAAGCGTGGTAACTACGTGCAAAATCTCTTAAGAAGGAGGCTTATGTTCAGCAGTGGACAGTTAAAGGTTGATATGATGACAATTCACAACACTTTATTTAAAATTAAATTTGATTGTCAAACAGGTGGGCTCAAACCATCCTCTTCTAAAGTCCGCAAAGAATCTTCTAATTGGATCCAAGAGCAACCTACAGTCCGTCGGTCTGATCATCCTCCTAATATCCAAGGCTGCAGGCTTCAATAACTTGGAGTTTACCAGGGACCAGTACGATTCTTGTGTTTTGCACTCACAGAGGGCGCTAGCGGAGATTGTAGAAATGAAAAGAACCGGCCACATTATTCATAAGACCATGGTTAACCTACGAGAAAAAGAGAAGCACGGAGAGAAGTATAAAGATCTGTTATACGGGAATAAAATTGTATTACTCACTGGTAAGTGGGAATCCCAATATCCTTCTTCTTCTTCCTCAGCTCGACTTCACAGTTAAGATTTTGTTAAAGTAGGTTTTTTTGATGGATGATAATGGAATGGCCACCCCGCATGCGCTAATGGTATACACTGGGCACTCCCTCACTGGGCTGGGCACCAGTGAGGAGAACAGGTGAGAATAAATAAGCAGGTCTTTTTTTTATGGGTGAAGTTGGAATCGTAAGTCTGCTTGCGCTATCGGTATACGCTGACGGGGCACCAGTGAAGGGTGACAGGTGAGGATGATGGTACGTCAGTCCTTACTTGTATTTCACCCCTTGATTCGAAATGTATCATTGTGTGAATACCTGCTTGGGAGTAGTAATACAAATGAATTTCATGTTGAAGTTTTTTGTATTTTTTTTTGCCTCCCTAGGCAAACAAGCAGACGGTCTACCTGATGGAAAGTGACTACGGTCCTCCATAAACACCTGAAACAACTGTATTCCTCTAGTGGAGATTTTTTCATGAATCTTTAACAGGGGATTACCTGCTTGCCACGTGTCTACACCAGCTCGGAGGGCTGCGAAATAATGCAGTTACAGAGCTGATCTCTACCGGTCTTAGGGATCTGGTTGAAGGCGACTTTTTGGGTGAACACGATAAGGAAAATAATCCCTGGCCTACACGACCTAAGGGTAATAGAGATTATAACTAGGCTTAAATTAGACGGTAGTATATGAATCAAACATATAGCCTCCTATCCTAAACCTCAAGCTTAGTTTATTTTTTCTTAGAAAAAAGAGACTAAATACATATGTATATACACACGCATGCACGCACGTACACACACACACACACACCGATAAACGACGATGTATTTAGTGCATACTTTACTTACATTGTAAACTTTTTTATTTAGAATGCGGAATTATCTGTTTTTATATGTAGATCTAACTTTGCAACAGTTTTTTTTTGCTACGCAAACAAAACGTCTATTTCAATTGTCACAAAAATAACTTGGGATCAACATCTAACAATATTGATTGTAAATAGAATTATAATAATTGAGAACTTGATTTTGGAAGCCGTTCAAAAGATAATCATTCTTCATGATGGGGTGACGACCTGAAATATATTGCAGGGAGTCAGTGGATGCAAGTGGCCCAGGACCGTTCTTTATGGCAGTCTATGGGGGGCATTAAACGGATTATGTCTAGCATTAAACGGATAATGGTTTAAAAGAAATGCTAATTTTATTTTAAAATTGTTTAGAATCATCGGGAAGAATAAAATAGAAAATGTATCCTATAGATTTTGGGAGTTTTTATACCAATCTGGCGGAAAATAAGCATTTTTTTTTACAACATAGGGGGCAAACGAGCATGCGGCTCACCTGATGGTAAGTGACTACCGCCGCCCATGGTCACCCACAACACCTACGGTATTGCAGGTGTGCTGCCGGCCTTTTAAAAAGGAATATGCTCTTTTCTTGAAGGTTATGCTGTCGTATTGATTCGGAAATACTGCTGCTGGAAGTTGATTCCAAAGAGTGGTTGTGCGTGGGAGAAAGTGCTTTGAAAAATGCATACTATTAGATGGGTCTTATGATTATTTACCAATATTGTAGTATGAAAAAATACAATTTAAAGCGTATTAACGAGAATTTAGGTTTATCTAATCTTTTAATCATGCAGGCAGCAATGAAATGAGAAGCCATTATGAATGGGAGAAGGAAGACAATCTTAGAAAACTAGGCTCAAACGAGTATCTCGGACAAGGGAAAGACGAGTGGATCTATCGGACGATGCTTATGTCTGGGAGCATTCTCGGCAAGGGTTGCCAGGGCGCTATGAAGCTGGCAAACCGCGGGGAACAAACAGAAAGGGACGCGTATATCCTTGGAGGACATTTGGCCCTCATATGGCAACTGTATTTGGACGTCAAAGAATTCTTTACTCATCCATATTTGTATTCGTTAGTCGGTGCGCCTGTTACCTTTGCTCTATGGGAGTATCCCACCATATATAGCCATATTCTAGAAGCCAAATTGGACAAGAAGCCCGTAGAATATAAACAGTTGTACTACGCTGTGAGAGGCACCAGAGCTATAGATTATTTGTCCAATTTTCTCGATGACGAGTTAGCGGCCGTGTTGAAATATTCGGAGAGGTTCCCGGTGACTGATGCGAGGCTATCGTTGCAGAAGATGGCTCTTACAATACACGGGGAAGCCGTACAATATATAGAAATGTAATTGGAATAAAGGTGTTTTAGTAAAAAAAGAATTAATAAATAACAAGACAATAGTTGTAGCACTGTTTTTTTTTTATTTAAAATAAATCTATTTACAAAATTTCCTTTACAAAATGCTTGGCATCTCTAATTTTTTTTTCTCGCATCACTGAGATCACATTGTTATTTCGGAAATTAAAGGTAATATTATAGGTGATAATGAAATAGTAACCCCACCCGCGCTATCGGTATACACCGGCGGAGCACCAGTGAAGGATGATAGGTGAGGATGAAGCAGGTCAGTTAGCCCATCGTGACGAATTCAACGAGAATTATTCACGATGGTTTCCAGGGGGAACCACGCGGAGGTTGACCTGATAGGGCATATTGCTAGCAATGGGGCTGTCAAATCCATACAAAATTGCTAACAATCCCTTCCCCCCGAAATTTTTATATTAAATAATACTATTAAATTAATTTACTATAAACCTACCATGTTAGTTAACGGGTGATAAATAAACATTCAGTCGTGCAAGGTTAATTGTATTAATTAATAAAATATAACAAAATTGTTTTCCGCCATCGAATGTTTTAACTTTTAGAGTTCGATTACGGATGTATTAATGTTTCATTTATTATTTTTGTTAATCATTACGCGCGTAATATGTACTTAGTAAACAGTAAGTACTTATCGTGATAAAAATATGTTGGCACACTATTTGGTTGCCAAGAGACGATAAGAAACGATAACTATGTATGTTACTAATACATTATGATACATCTATCAATATTTTTTACATTCTCATGATTTTTTTTATATAACTTAGAATGGCAAACAAGCTGACGGCCCACCTGATGGAAAGTGGTAATCGTCGCATATAGACATGAGCAGTACCATGGACATAACAGAGTATATTGTTTCGCCCATGATACCCCCCATGCGTTGCCATTCCTGAGGACTCAGGTGTTATTTCTCTGTACCCTGTAAATTCACGCCATATCCCACCCTTCAAACCTAAACACAGCCATGCAAACACAACTGCTTCACGGTTGAAACACGAATGAGACAGAGGTACCCAAGCAATCGACTTTTGTACAGTCTCCCTCTGACTTTACATAACTGATGGTTTTTTCCATAGGGTCGAATTATCTGCTCAAATGACTGTGGAATGGACCCCTGTAAATTCTGTACAGTGGTACCTCGACATACGAATTTAATTCGTTTCGTAACCTTGCTCGTATCTCAAAGCAATTTTCCCCATTGAAATTAATTGAAATGCCATTAATCCGTACTCCCAGAAAACCACGTCAGTTGTTTTTGTTAAGTGTTAATCTGAGGTAGGAGAAACTGTTAGACACCAACATCCACCCCGCATGTTGGGATCTTGTGCAGCGGTATAGTGTGCGATTGTTCGTATCTCAAATCTTGTTCTCATCTCAAAGCAAAATATCATCTCAAAACGCTCGTATATTTAGGTACCACTGTATATTAATTATTATATCTAATATAAATGGATTATGACTTGTAAAATTAGTCGACAACCGTCATACTCGTGAACAATATGCGTTACATTTTATAAGGAAGGGATTTAATGCGATCATTCAGGTAATCTTTTTTTTTATGCAACTTAGAATGGCAAACAAGCTGATGGCCCACCTGATGGATAGTGGTAACCGTCGCCTATAGACAGGAGCAGTACCATGGACGCAACAGACGGACCTGGTTGGGTATATTGCTAGCAATGGGATTCTTAGTCTCCATTGCTAACAATCCCTTTCCCCTCAATATACAATAACTATATATTGGTTTAATAACGAATATATATTGGTTATTCAATATATAAATATTGAAATGTAGCAGCCGATCAAAATTTATATAGACGTTTGAACGCTTGGACGATATCGAAATGGGTAATGACCCTTTTTCCACCATCAATGTCCAGAGAAATCCAATATATAGTATATCAGTGTCGTACTCTAATTACCTATACCTAGATATGTTTTTTCTTTCCTTAATGTGAACATTTCTTGTAATTATTTGTATCTATAATAAGTTTCCTACTGTAATCTTTTGGAGGAAACAATAAAGAGTATTTATTTATTTCTCTATTTTAATAGATTTTTTTTTTATTCTATTCTAATTACCTAATTTATATTAATACAACAATAATAAAATGAGATTTCAGTCCACCGACTCCATATTGAGTGTTAGGAGGTATAATATATATTGTGAGAAATATACAAATATTAATATCAAGTTCAAAACTAGTAAAGAATAAAAATTTTAATGATCAAATTATCATTTATCAGGTACTATTAACAAGGTAATAATAAAATAATTTAAATACTGGTCATAATCATGTAAAAATAATTCACAAATAACAATTCACGAATAACAACAACAAATAAAATTAATGAGAACACAATAAAAAAGTCTTCTTAATTGTATTATGCACATAGTTTGTAATAGTAATAAATAAATAGAGAAAAAAAATGACACTAGGAACATACGGCATTATCAGAGTGATGATCCAGTCGGTTGGAGTAAAATTTTTCTTAAGATTTCAAATTTGGAAATAATGTTTATATTTAATATTTTTGTGTGGCAACACTGTAGCAGTATCATCATTTGAATTTAATTATATGTCTCTTATTGGTTACTAATCAATATTTCTGGTCATTATATATTATTATTATTTTGTTTATCAATTTGTAATATGCACATTTTAATTAATAAAGTAGGTAATTATGTCTTTTCTCCCACCTCTGATATTTCTCAGTTTAATTTTTCTGGGGTCAATAATTTTTATTTCATTCAAGATTTAGAGCATTATCCTGACCATTGATATTTGGAAAAGTTTTTAAATGGTTTTAAAACCCAATTTTTTTATTTTATCATAAGCTTATTATACATTCATCTTTGTAATTATTTTTGTTATGTAGTATATACATATTTTGTATTTACATAATTACAATTTATACAATTTACACATTCTCTTTCCAATAGGAACTTATTGTATTATATATCTATTGTCTTTCTTTTATATTTTTCAACTTAGAAGTTATATACTGGTAGTACAATAATAGTTAGTGATATATTAACACTCTATCCCTCTGTTGATAAGAATCCAGGATTTACCTCACACGAGGATTCCATGATATCTTTCTTTTCGTCAATTCAATACTAGGGGACCTAAAAATACTATTTTTTTTATGTTAACCATTATCAACCAATCACAATATCTAAATATGTCTATGACTTATAAAAACAAAATAACAAAATTTATATTTACTATTTTCATAGACAATTAAATAGTATTTATTAACCTTTTAATTGTGTCTACAGGTTCATTGTCACCAAACATTTCTGCATAAGCCTTCGCCTTATTAGCGTTTTCTGTATACAACAATCTTGTTCTCTCAACGGCATCTGTTCTCAGAATATCCAGTTTAAAATCTTCTAAATCTATATTAGTAATATTCTCCTTACCTTTTTCAATGATATCATACAAATCTGGATTGTCATATAAAGCAAATAGCACTGGTGCACTTACTAAAGAATACGATTCTTTTGTATCTGACGTTATTCTCTGCAATTCGTTCGCAGCCTGCCATGCGAGACTTAAGTGGCAACCGAATAGATACGCTATCTCCTGCTCCTCCAACCCTCGACCCCCAAGTAAAACAGCACCCTGACACCCACGACCAAACAGAGAACCACCACTGTACAAAGTCCTTAACGTCCACTCGCGAATTGGTGAGCCTAACGTATCTGTAACATCTAAAGGCAACGTGTCACTGTTTATGTGGAAGTTATCCAACAGTTTACTTATTGGTTTTCCAGGTAACGGCATGTTCTGTGAGTCCCTCTCACCAAAGAACTCTCCTTCACTTATATCCCTTAATGCTGTTGATATTAAATATGATAAATCCTGATTCTTCAACCGCGCCAACATCCCATTTGCGGTCACGAGTAAATAATCACCTATTAGTATTGCAATTTTATTCGCAAACATTGTAGTGTCAGCCACAGTGGCTCTCTCTGATAAACTTATGTTTAGTAGTCCACGGTGTACGTAATGCCCTGTACGTATCATTTCTGTCAATTCAGCCAATATTCTTTGGTTTTCCGTTATTTGGCTTGTTTTTATATCTGTTATTGAGGGGGTTACAGCTTTAGAAAGTAGCAAAATAACGAGACCCCATGGTTGAAGGTTATTGTGTTCATTGTATATGACCGATTTAGCTGTTTTGATGATGGGGTGATTGGTGTCTACCTAGAAATAAAAAAATATATATATATGGTAAATTTTTTTATAATTTTAATTTGTATAAAAGCAAACATTGACACTAGCCACAGATCTAAATGACCCTAAAATAGTTAAAAGACTTAAACATCATCATATATGGAACTTCACTTGATTACGAAGTAATAAAAAAGGTAGATGAATATATAATAAATAAAATTTAAAAAACATAGTTTTTTTTATTTATTAGGTTTTGACTATATAAGTATAAATACTTAGAAAATGATAAACTTTAATAAATAAATAAAAGAAAAGAATTTTATTTTTAGATTAAATATAAAATTTTGTTTTTTCATACTATAATATTATGGTCAGCTTGAAGCCTATTGTTTTACAAATGGAAATATCCTTGAAGTAACCATAAACATGAGGTCACATGGTGTGGGCATGTTATGTAATTTATTCATAACATAAACTGTATGAGAATTATAATTAGCTATTTTTTAAACACCGAAAAACATTATATATTATATATTTAAATCATTAAAAATTTAAATTAGAAGTCTAATTGGAAAGAATATTTTGTTTTTTAAGTACTTACAACTTTTCGCAAATGCATCGCCAAATTGGCAAATTCATCACTCAACAACCATCGTAAATTCATGAAAGAAGTTGGATATCCAACTATTTTCTCTGCTTCTCTTATAACTTTGCCCCATTGTGTAAATGGAGGGCGAAATAGGATTGCTTCCTGGGTTAGGTTGGTCATGGTACTCTCAGTTCGTATTTGTTGTGATAATAACGCCGTACGGCGTATTTGCCGTAGTAATGCATACGACATGGATGCTAGTTTATTTAATTGTAGATTTTATATTATAGTAACATTCAGGTACGTTTCATTTACACTGATTATATTTAATAAAAATAATTAATCTAATTTACGAACAGCGCACGACACTGTTATGTCATCGCGTATTTTGACAGTAGAACTCTTCGTTCTGAAATAACCATGAATTTTGTTTCTTAGATTACGTTACTGTATTAATTTAACGTTTGACGGAATTTAAAATTAATATACCGATTTGAATATATTTAGTGCAGAAAATATAAATAAGCAGGTAGATATATAACTGAATTGTCTATGTTTACCAGAATATTCGTATTTTTATTAGTCTTTACAATTAATATGTATACCTATTTCTGAACGTACTAATAACTTAAAACGATAAGTTAGAGCCCGCAAATATCAAATTGAATTGAAAATATTACTTAGTTGTCTTAAACATTGCTTAGTTGTTTAAAATATACCGTAGTGATTACTTGCTCTGTGGTCTGAAACATCTCTAAAAACGTTTTTTTTCTTTAGTAGCATTCACCAGTTGCCAACTCACGTGCCAAGCGTGGCAACTACTGGTAAAATCAGGGAAAACCTTATGTTCAGCAGTGGACAGTAACAACTGACATCATCAGACACATGGAACATACAGTTCTGGGCACTTTACACACACATTACACTAACATACACCATCGTATATCAATACAGACATCTACAAAAACAGTCACTTGCAAAAACGATGCACTATGTCAAATAGTAAAAATACCCGTACTCATATTTAATTACAATATATCCCATCATGTTAGACGGTCTCTATATTTAATTTGCATCAAATTGTGGAATTCTCTCGTTTCTTGTACAATCGTAATTATATTAAATTCAAATTATGGATGATCTATCACGCATAAATTCGGATATAGAATTGATTGTGGTTTCTAATGCATATGTTTGTTCCCCTGAAAACTGTGCAAAATATTTAATTAATGCAAATAGATTCTTAAAAGTGTTACATAAGGAGTATCGGCAATACTAATAATTTTGAAAACCTTACAATTTTAATGCACAGACTATCTTTTGATCTTGACATACTTATTCTATCTGAGTGTTGGTTAAGTAAATGTCCTAATATTCCGCAGATGAGAGGATTTAGGTCTTTCTCTACAAACTGTAATAATCAAAACGATGGCGTCGTTGTGTATATACGGATCAATATTGAAGCTACAGTTGAAAAACCAAACTTAATAGACGCTAATTGCTTGGTTATTAAAATTCCCAAGAGTATAGTAATCTTAGCAGTTTACAGATCGCCTGCATATAAAAAAAATTGAGAACTTTATCAACTCTCTTGATGCACTGCTACTGTCACTACGATCACATACTACGGTGGCTCTAATTGGCGATTTAAACATTAATATTATACCCAATAACTTGGACCCTCATTCAGATATTTACCAAAATCTAACTTTATCCCACGGTATGTTGCCTGCGCATCTTTTTCCCACTAGAATCTAAAGCTGCTTGGATCATGTCGTACTTAAATCCAATAAAAAATCAATTACACTGGTTTTAGACTCTCTTGTTACTGATCATGCACCCGTAATTTATTGCTGCGAATTAGGTCATGACATTTTGAATGTTACTTATGCTCATACAGATAGAAAATTTAATATAATGGCTTGTGTTAATGAACTAGAACATTTCGACTTCTCTAATATACTATATTGCTCTGATCCTGAGACTGCATCTAACTTATTAGTCAATATTGTATCTTCTGCCGTTAAAAAACATACTCTCTACAAAAAAGTTTCTAATAAATACAAGAATCTCAAGCCATGGATTACTCCAGGTTTATTGAGATGTATTAGACACAGGGATAACTTGTATCGTAAAACTAAAAATCAACCGAATAATGAAACTTTAATTGTTATATACAAACGGTATAAACAATATTGTAACTCTTTGCTAAAAAAGGTTAAACGTAGTTACGAACGAGTCGAATTTCAAAAACATAAAAAGAATCCGAAGGAGACTTGGAATCTTATTAAAAGACTTGCTAATATAAACAATAAAATTTTGTCGTGTCATAAAGAACTTCTATCGCTTCATAAAGACCCTATTGATGCTGTGAACTCAGTTAATAAATACTTTGTACAAATTGGTGAGAATCTAGCAACAAAAATACAATGTAACAATAGTTTAAACAGTGTGTGCCAAAGCCACAAGCCTGAATTAACTGAGCCAAACTCGATGGTTTTGTTAAATACTGATAAGGAAGAAATTGAAGGAGTAATAATAGGATTAAAAGATAATGTTGCTACAGGTTGGGATGATATTCCCTCGTCTTTAATAAAAGCTGCTAAGCATGTATTAATCCCTGTTCTTAATTATGTTCTCAATTTATGTATTTCTAGTGGTGTCTTCCCAAAAGTTTTCAAAAAAGCAATCGTACACCCGATCTTCAAGGGTGGAGATAAAGATAGCATTAATAATTATAGACCCATTTCAGTTTTGTCTGCCCTTTCAAAAATCTTTGAAAAGATACTAAATAAACGTTTGCTTCAATATCTTGATGTTAAAAACATACTTGCTCCTAATCAGTTTGGTTTTAGATCTGGAAGATCAACAGAGGATGCGGTTCTTGAGCTAACTAGTTTAATTGCCGATGATTTTAACAATAAACTTAAGTCTCTTTGTATCTTCCTTGATCTATCTAAAGCATTCGACACTGTCTCAGTCCCTATCCTTCTTTCCAAACTTCAATACTTGGGTGTTCGAGGTATAGCCCTGAAATTGTTTCAAAGTTACCTTAGTGATAAACATCAAAGTGTTATTATTGATAATATCCTGAGTCATGAGGAATCTGTCAGTTACGGCGTACCACAGGGTAGTGTTCTTGGGCCTACCTTGTTTTTGATATATATCAATGATTTATGCAAAATGTCCCTTCCAAATTGTAACATAATAACATATGCCGATGACACAGCTTTGATAATTCATGGGCATGATTGGGCGGAGGCCCGATCTCATGCTGAATCTGCTTTGTTTATTGTTTCAAACTGGTTGGCACAAAACCTTCTAACGCTAAACTTAAATAAAACCAAATTAGTAACATTTTCTCCCAACAAGATCTCCCAACCAGACACATCTTTTAAAATACTAGCACACAAATGTAATACCATAGGTAATTCTGATTGTGATTGCCTCTCTATATCACGAACAGACAATTTCAAATACCTTGGTGTAATTGTAGATAGTATGCTGTCTTGGAATAGACATATTGAATCTGTAATCACACGTGTTAGAAAGCTAATTTACGTTTTTAAAAAATTGAGAAATGGTGCTGATTTCAAAATTTTGAAAACTGCCTATTTTGCACTTGCACAATCCATTATTGGTTATTGTATAACTGCATGGGGAGCTTTTAATAAAACGCAAATGCTAAGATTGGAAAGAGCTCAGCGAGCAGTATTAAAAGTTATGGCTTTTAAACCCATCAGGTATCCAACAAAAGATCTGTTCGCACTATGGAAAGTAAATAGTGTAAGAAAGTTATTTGTACTGATGTCCATACTGCGTAAACATAAGTCCCTTCCATATGATCCCTTATTACTTATAGACAAAAGAATTACTTATAAAGTTTGTAAAATTGATAAATGTCGTTTAGATGTAGTGAACCGTCAATATAAGTACATGAGTAACAAGTTATATAATAAAATAAATATGTTATTAACAATATATCCACTTTCTTTACGTGATTGCAAAATAAAATTGATTAATTGGCTAATGACTCTTGAATATGATGATGTCGAATCATTGATCAAGGTTTAATTATTAAAATTAAACATGCACATACACACACACACACATGCTCGCACACGCACGCACGCACGCACGCGCACAAACACACACACACACACACACACACACACATACACACACACACACCCTCGTACAAAATCCATTGATTAGTTTTATTTTATTAATTTTCTCCTGTGTTATTGTTATTTAAATTTTGTACCGCATGTTATGGAGCGGGCGTTAATAGCTGCGACACAGTCTCTTTGTGACTAATGCAGTTATTACCGAACCTACAAAAAACTGTAAATTAAGCTAAGGATCCCAAATAAACATTTTTATTTTTTATTTTTTTTTATTATTACTTTGTGAAAATTTCAAGTTTTAAGATTTGAGATAAATGACCAGGTTTATTGACCTAAAAACTGACACTTAAAACAGTACAAATCCGGGTAGAGTAATGTACAAGTAATGGAGACGTTAGTCCCCATTGTTAGCAACATGCTTTATCACGTTGAATTACCATACGATTCCGCTGGAAACGATTGTGGTTAATTCCTTGCGAATTCATCACAATGGGCCAACTTGATCTTGAACTTGATCGGGGGGGGGGGAGCGATTGTAATACGTGACTACCAGTCTATTGCTAGTAACAGACCCTATCAGATCGATTTCTACGTGGTCCCCCTGGAAACCAACGTGCTGAATTCCTGGTGTATACATCACGATAGGCTAACTGACCTGCCTTTTCATCCTCATCTATCATCCCTCACTGGTGCCTCGCCAGTGTATACCGATAGCGCAGGCGGAGTTACCATTCCATTATCATACCTTAAAAAACTGACCTGATCTCATCTTCGTCTTCAATTTCGGGTCCCCAGAAATGTCGATATTCCCGAAATATACAAGAAAACTTTGTTTTTTATTACATACTCATTATTATAACATATGCTTAATTTCAACTAGGTATAACTAAGTTGTTTCTTTAGCTGTACAGCATTTATCCTCGAACATTCTATAGTTGTAAATATACAATCGAGTCGACAGGTCTTGTCGTCACCACGACGTGGTGTAATCCACGTCGAAATGTCGGCAATAAAGAAGAAGGTATGTAGGTATTTACGAGTACCTGCATAAGTTTTGGGGGAAACAGATTGTTAGTAATGGGGTCTAACTGACCCATTGCCAGCAATACCAGATAGGGTATCAGGTCGACCTCCTCGCGGTTCTCCCTCGAAACCATCGTGGTTAATTCTAGTGGAATTTGTCACGATAAGCTAACTGACCTGCTTTCATCGTCACCTATCATCCCTCATTGGTGTCCCGCCAGCGTATACCTAGGCCTAGGCGG